GTGTGTGTGTGTGTGTGTGTGTGTGTGTGTGTGTGTGTGTGTGTGTGAGAGAGAGAGAGAGAGAGAGAGAGAGAGAGAATGAGAGAAATTGTGCGGTGGATTGTTGGCTATGGGCAACGGTGCACAGAGAGAACGTGAACTGTTGTTAGACGTTTGTTGTGAATTATCGTGAAACGCATATATAGTGAGGATGTTTTTATCCAGTCAGTCGTTTACCATCACTCACATGTAGTGTCACTTGTGTTTGTTGCGTGTACTGTGAATCAATTCATTTTGTTGTTCCGTTTCCACAAAGTGAGATAAAGTGACAAGAAAATGTAATAAAAAATCTTTTTTTTCTTCTTTGTCACGATTCGGCATTGTTTATCCGTTTGGATTTATTTTAATCGAAAACCACGTTTACACACTCAATCGAAAGTGCGTGTTTCTTTTTTTGGTACATCGCATATATATATATTAGAGGAAAGGAATCAATTAAGGGGTCAACAGCATGCTTTTATGAGCTTATCGGTGATTTACTCAACTTATTGACACAATCTTGAGTTGCCATCATCTTTATCAATTCTTAAATGATGACAAAAATGAAGTTGAGTGATTTTTGTGTGCCACATTTAAGCCGTGTTTCATCAATCAAATTTGAATTTTGTGGTCCATTGCATGAATTCGTTGGTGTACATGTGTGCGTGTGCGTGTGTGTATATGAATATGAAATTGTTGATATTTGCAGTCGCCATTTATCTAAATCGAATCATTCAAATAAACAACACCGTATACGAAAACACTGAAGCGTGTGTTCATGGTTGCTAGGGTACGCAAATTGCTCATGCGGGAAATTCCTCGGCTAGTTTGTGTTTCGTGTACAAACTGTGTTGAGATGTTCAAACAATAAATGAATTTTTGTGTGTGCTGCGGTTTGAATGGTTTACAGAATCGAATGAGATAAAGAAAAAGCAAAAGAATGAGATAAACGCAACCAATCACAGATACAGAATGAAAAAGGATGTGCTGAAAAACATTGTTCATACGCATTCAAATTATTCGATGCAACCATAAACCATAAAGCCACCAAAACCAATACACACAGTTAAAACCATTTTTTGAAGGGGGCGCCTTCACTCAAGACAAATCAATGACTCAACTGGACATAGATGAATGTTAGTCGTTAAACACGGTTTCCAAGAAATGTGAATGATATTTGGCTACAACAAAACATTTTGACCAATACAAATTCTCTTTTTATTCCATGTACAATTATTATTTATGTATAAATTTTCCATGGAACGGTAATTTTTCTATATACACCTTGAACTTGTAGCATTTTTTCCAACGACAACATTTCGAAAATATGTATAAAAAAATTCGTGTTTCTTATTTATTGTGATTTGAATTGTGGATAAAAATTCGATGAATATGTATGAACATTTATTTTCGGGGAAATTTTTGGCAATGTAAATGTACGGTTGTGCCATACTCTTATCGGTCATTATTTAAAACATATCAAAAACTAACATAAAATCATATACACAGAAATCCAATACGGGAAAAAGTGCATCAGACAAAGTTTTGTTGCGTGTGTTGAATATGTTTTGTGCATGTTGATCCGTGTATTAGATTGTTATACCGTCCCCACCTCCTTCCCAAATGAAAATTCCATTATTTATCAATATTTATATGAAAATTTCATTTTTGGTGGAATGGGCCACATTTCACTTCATCAGACACACACACACACGCGCACCAAGCGAAACACATTTATTATTACACCCCAAAAATCACTAGCGCGTCCTTTGAAAATACGTTGTATCTTCTTCAACAAATCGTTTGATGGAAATGTTACTGGTTGATTATAGAAGCTATTTAGGAGAATCAAGTGAACGAGCAAAAAAACACACACCTACCGATGTATACGATGCGCTAATTTACATACATCCAATTTAATTTCCTTTTTATCGATAATGTCCAATATTTATTTCAACATACATCGTACACACATTTATATATGTATGTATAATTGTATATAAACGATATAGAAATTTGAATATTGCTCAACTCAAGTGGCAACGATGCAATCAGCGTGACGTACCACTTTGTAAAAAATTTCCACAATAAGCTGGAAAAAAAAACGAGAAATTGATGAAAAACAAAATAGTAGTCGGCTTGAAAAAAAAGTGTTCAATGAAAATGAGGAACGACACATGACAATGAGTAAAAGCGCATTTATGCAGTGACGCTTCATCAAGTGCCAATGTAAAAAAGCAATTAAGTGGACAAAATATTTTCGGTCCCAAAGTTTTTTTTTCATTTCTTCATAAAAAAAAGATATATGATTGATTTCGTTGTTGTCAACAATACATATCAATCATTTGTTTTTAATTTGTCAGTGAATGTGAAATACAAGGCATTTAGCTAATGAACTTTGAATAAAATGAGTGCTGGATGGATGTAATTCAGGAAAGTTTTTTTTCGTTCGATGCATCATATTATTTTCAGCTTCAAGTTTCCAAGTTTACGGTAGCAAAATGAAACCTCATTCGAGTATCATCTGAGAGCCTGAAACCCAAAACAAATTATAAAAATTCTTTTCGGAAAAAGAGCATAAGAAATTATTGAGCGCAAAACGAGAATATAGAAAACTGAGAGTTAAAACAACACATAGAATACTGAGAGTAAAAGTAGCATATATCGATTTGCTGTTTTTACTCTCAATTCCGTATGTTGTATTTTAACTCTCAGTTTTTATTCTTCTCATTTTAGCACTGAAAATGTATTTGTGTTTATTTGGCACCGATAAATATTATATTTGCTTTTCGTCAAAAACATTTTATTTGGATTCGTATAGAACAAAATGTAATAGAAGAATTTGTTTACAAAGCAATAAAATAAACAAAAACAAATGCTCTAATTTCACGTCGCTACTGCGACACGATGAGTTACTGTGGTTCCTATATTTATGCATTGACCAGTGTAAATCCAACAGCAATTTACCGTTATTCGCTAACACACCGAAGATATACAAATATGCTGGTCGTATTCGCACCGAATTTCATGTTGTGTATTATGCGTATCTGTAAAATCTTATTTTTTTTTTTTTTGATCTGCAACGACAAAACTATTTGTCGATTTCTTAATTCAAAATTTGAAATTCAAATCATTGTTTTTCAGTTCACATTATTATTAGATAAATAGGCTAGTGAATATCTACTGAACGATCGAAAAAACGTGTACGTAGACCGCTTTTGTATAAAAAATATCGCAAAAGAATATTGTAATGGCGCATACAACAAAAGGCAATAGACAAATTGCTGAAAAAGTGTTCAATGTGCTATCAATCTGTACGAGTTCGGGAAAGTACTGCACCAAAATTGATCTGCTCCAACAAAAACTGATTTTCAATTCGTACTATTCAAAATCAAACTGGAGTAAAAAACGCTGTTCCTTCGATCACACATTAAAACGGCGAAAGCGAAAAGATGCCTCGTTGTATCCAAATCATTTTTGAAAGAGAGAATGTTGACAAACAATTCACTAAGTTAATCTCGTGTCATATTACATGAAAGAGCAAAAATGCAACGCATTGTGACGAAAGCTAAATATAATATTTTTCGGAGTCAAATAAAAACATATTTACTTTCAGAGCAAAAATGAGAAGAATAAAAACTGAGAGTTAAAATATAACATATCGCTTGTTTGTTTTGTCGCTAACTGAAATTATATTCTGTTTTAGTTCTCAGTTCTGTATATGCTCTTTTAACTCTCAGTTTTTTTCTATCGTATTTTTCATTTAAAACACATTCTTATGCTTTTTTTCCGAAAAGAATTTTTATAACTTGTTTTGGGTTTCAGGCTCTCATCTGGTGTTCGCTTTTTCATTCACCGGTGTATCATGGATTCATTACGAATATCTTTTGAAAAATGATTATTTACAGGAAAAAAAAAGAGATTCATTTTTGTAATATTTATTATACCGAAATGAGGCAGTCTTTTTTTCCGACAGTTAAAACGGATGTTTTTTTTAAATACAAAGGATACAGTTCGGCACCATTTTTACATTAAGATAGTGAACAGCATTTTCCAACGAGTACACACAAAAAAATTTGCGGAAAAATTTAATGTAAAAGCGGTTACTGAGTAGTGTGTGGTTAAATTTTAAGGCAATGCGGTTAAAATTTCGTCATTTGGATTCTTTAATATTAGAATTCACCGCAATTTACCGCATTCATACAAAAATGACCGCACACGCATAAGAGTAAAAGTCAAACATTCAATCCACCATATTCGAGTATGAATTGATTGTTATAAAACATTCTCGTTAAATACATGAAACTATTCTTTTTATAATACATATTATTTATTTATCTTTATTATTTGATGCAAATCTACGGCGGTGTTTTTTGGACGAAATACTACTCTGTTCGTCATTTTTTGTCTTTTTTCTTGAATTCAAATAATAAAGATAAATAAATAATATGTATACATGAATAGTTTCATGTATTTAACGAGAATGTTTTATAACAATCAATTCATACTCGAATATGGTGGATTGAATGTTTGACTTTTACTCTTATGCGTGTGCGGTCATTTTTGTATGAATGCGGTAAATTGCGGTGAATTCTAATATTAAAGAATCCAAATGACGAAATTTTAACCGCATTGCCTTTAAATTTAACCACACACTACTCAGTAACCGCATTTACATTAAAATTTACCGCAAATTTTTTTGTGTGTATTTTCATGTATCTAAAATGAAGTCAAAATTGAAATGGTAGCTTGAGAAAAAAAATTCGAATCAAAGTAAGCATGGCTATTTATTGATTTATTTGAAATTAATCAGCATTTTTTTTCGTTCTTTCTTTTTGAAACCATCATACAAGTTTCAATAAATCATGCGGCCAATTTTGTGGCACAATTTATTTCATGAAAGAAATTTCACTTCATTCATTCGCCTGTATATTTTAATTACCTGTTGGAAAAAGGAATTCTGTCGAACACACAGTAATCCACAAAAGAAACCTCATTCAACTAGTTTCATTTTGTTTTTGTTGTCGCTGGTGTTCAAGAGCCATGAAATTATTGAAAATACGATCTGAGTCTAAATTTATCCATTGATATGAAATCTAAGAATTTTGTGATATTTTCAAGAAACGGTATCCACATTTCCTTCGTCGTTGACATTTTCAATTTGAAATTCGTGAAAGTGGTGTTTTTTTTTCTCGAAGAATGAGTAATACATTTCCAGCCATAAATTTCACGGAACACGGTAAAAGTGTTGTTTGTATATGAACCACTTTCATGGAGCCTTCTTAATAACCTTTAATGAAACTCCATTTGATGTGAATTGCAACATGTTGCTTCGCTTAGAAACTAAATACTGTCAGATGTGAATACTGGGTAAATGCAAGCGTTTGCATTTTTGAAATACACACACAATACATTTAAGTTTCGTTGTAAAAGAGGTTGTTTTCTCTTTAAATATTAGGAATATACTCGTATGTGCATTGATTTTAAACAGACAGAGCTACAACAGCTGTATGCACAGCAATTCACCCTCTATTCGGTTTCTTCTTCTTCTGACACCATACAACACAACTAACTAAGCAAACAAGAAGAGAAAACGCCATTTATCACGCGGCAGAGCTGAATAATAAAAAAAAGAGAGAATATACACAAATTGGAAATATGAAGGGAGCATAAATTTCCTCTTTTGTTGATAAATTGGTAGTTGCTTGTTTGTTGGTGATTCAAACCAATTCTCATTGTATGTGCATGTACGATGTACGTGGTGGTTTATTGTCTGAAAATTGAAGCGATAAAAACAAATAATCGGTTAGCATGGCACACGTACACACCGAAAATTTCGTTGACATACTAAAACGCGAATATATGCTCCACTTTTGAATGTCTCGGCACTTGGTTTCCTTTGAGCCAATGTGGCGGCAACAAGACCAATGGTTTTAATTCCTCTTCGTATTTTCAAGACGATGGAAGCGGGTTTTTCTTTTCATTGTTTAAATTGCTCGTCATTGAACTCAACAATTTCAATTGATCAAGAGACTGTATACCGGAGCACCATGTCACCATTGTAGTGTCGATTGTTTTTTTTGTGTGTGCTTGTAGTGCATATTGGTGCAACTGTTGAATCATTGTTGAAAGTAAAAATTTCTTTTTTTCAAAAGCATACGTAGACAATTCTGTGTAAGTGTTTAATTCGATGTTTTTGGAATTTCTTTTTTGAATAATCAATATGTGTAAATAATCCTTTTAACCGGTAGCTAAACAAGCAATTCATGGTCGCAACAAAGGATAATCCCGTTTACATTCTATAAAATCGCATAGACACGTGTCATTTGGAATATCAGGTGTAAAAATTGATTAAACAATATATTCAAAAGCGTCTAAAATTTAACATGGAAAATGCATGTATCGCATGTATACATCTCTTTATCGTTTTTTTTATATTTGTAGTATTCATTTTCACTTCGGCAAAGTGACTACGACTTAAAATCCATGAGAGACAAACGACGGCGCTTCTATTATTTACAAAAGTAGCAAAACATTTTCCGTTTATTTTGAATTTCTGTTGTTGTTGAAATCTCGAGGAAATTTTGTTTTACTTGCACTTTACTTCCTAAGTATATGACTGTAAGCAAGTTGTATACGAATCGATCTACACGTTGTTTTGTTTATGTTGCTTCATCACTACCATATCGTTCATTTGGCTAAGTTTTCTGCAAATTCGTTCTTATTTTTATGATGTAAGCACAATTTATTGACTCGACTTACATAAACAACAATCAAAAAAGTTTCTTTTTATTTCACAACTATTTCGCGTGCGGTTCAAATCTTTACAATTTCCTATCTGAACCGCGGCGGTGCACCTTTATGCTCGGTCATATTCAATGAACCAAGATCTTAATGAATTATTACATTTTAAGTCAAATACATTTTGAAATCCAAAGCAAATAAACGTTGAAGCGGAAAAAAACTTAGTTGCCTGCCTACATTCGATGAAAGAAAATATCATTTTATTTTAATAAAGAATGATTCGGTTCAACAAAAGTAGGTTGAATTGTGTGCCAAACCGATTGAACAATTTTTTATAACAAAAAAAAAAAAACGGAATCAAAATAAATATCGAAGTACCAAAAAAATAGCACAAACAACAAATAAAAAATAATTGTTGTTGTTGCCTTCTGATTGGATAAACCGATAAAAAAATAAATACTGAAATCTGTACATGATGTGATTATTCGATGAAAAAGAAAAAGGAGAGTAGCGCGTTAATGATTTAATAATATTTCAGTTTATTTGAGATTGGGAGCCACGAAATTTAATATTTTAATTTTGTGAATCAACCAAGACAAAGCTGCAAGTGTGCGTGGTGCAAAAAAACAGTTCGATACAGAATGGGTTGTAATACGAGCCAAGAGCAAAAAAGTGCGGTGACCGAAAACAATGGTGATATCGATACCAACAATGAAACAAATCAGAGCGCACGAAATTCGGCGAAGAGTGAAAAGGCGTCGAAAAGCGCAAAAAGTGAAAAACTAATAAACGGACACGACACCAAATCCGACGACAAAGCAAACGAAGGTTGGTAACATGTAAAATATTTAAGCTAACATCGCATTAGTTATTTAATATGCTTAGCTCCTAGGCTATTGTTCTCCATAATTTTTTTTTATATATACATTTGTTAACGATGTATCAATCACGTACTTAGTAGCCGAAAAAAAAAACGAAGGTTTTCGCTAAGGAATCATGCTCAAATTTTGGTAAAGATAAGAGTTGGGAAAGTCTGAGACTGGGTTTTCTTTATCGCAAACTTTTTTATAATGAAAATTGATTTTGCGAACAAAAATTCATCATAATTTTTTTCTATAACTTTGCAAATACTTTAATTCAAATGCAAAAGAACACATTAATACAACTTTATTCTGATGGATGGTGAATGCAGAAAATGCATAAATTTAATGCCAAATTTTATTCAAATTGATTTTATGAATATATTGTGTAACGGCGTGCCGCAACGCAAAGAGCGTCTGTCTAAATGATGGACGATTCAAACGTACGTCTATTCTGAGAAATACATGACACAAATATTTTGTTCCATTTATTCAAAGCTATTTAGACCACAAAAGTGTAAAATTCGATAGGTAACATTGAACTATTTAACACATTAAAAACACCCACTTATTGGTGTAACTATGACAACAATGTCATTCTCTAATTGAATACATATTCAAATATAAAAAAATCATTCGATGAACTAAATTACGATATACATTTTATAATAATTGGAAAAGACCTCTAAAGGAGGAAAACTTCTAAACGCTATTTTATGGAAAAAAACGACGGGAAAATCAAACGTACTTGTATAAATTCAAAACATTAACGGAAGTCAAGAAAAGCCGTTTGAAGCTTAATAATAATTTCAATTAAACACAACGAAGAGCTTTTTTATGAGAAAATCTGTGCCAGTCCAAGAGACGATTTTATTGAACAAAATAAGTATATAAGCACTCAACAGAGCTTGAAGAAAGCTCATGAAATCTTAAGTTTGAGCCTTGGCTTAATGTTATTTCATTGGCCAATGCTTTTATATGTAAAGTGTGATAAAAGCTCTTATACGATAAGCTTTTTTATCCATTTGAATGGTATGTATTAGTTTATTCCATTTGATGAATAAGCATCTCTGTTGGATTCCATTAAACAAGTTTTTTTTTCTGTGTTTTATGCGCTTGCGTTTGCTTTTATTCCTGAACTGATATTTTGCAAGTTTATTTCTCCACCGAGATTGAATCGAGTCCAAAATGGCCTGAAGATATGAGCCAGTATGCGTGCACATTTTCTTCATGTTTGTGTATGTAAAATATGAATATTCGATCGTTGAATATATTTGTTTGGCTTTCGGTTTGGTACGTATATTGGGTTGTGTGTGCGCCTGTATTTGTGTGTGACGAACATCCGAATAAGCCGAATGATGTTGAGAAGGGCAAGCATTTAATGCCGTTCGTCAACAAAAAGCACCAGATTGTATGCACACAACAACCAGGAACATCATCATTTGTTCGCGCTTTATATTGATAGTCGCACGTGATTTCTCGATACACAGCCAGTTTTCTTCTTCTAGTGGAAAGTATTCAGTTCGTTCCGTGCTCACTGTACATAACGATTTTTTTTTTGGTTTTAGTTTTTCTAGTTCGATCAAATCTCAATCGTTTGTCATTTTCTTTTGTTTTCAAATCCTTATTCAGAGCTTTTTCTAAGAGCGAGAGAGAGAAAAAAATTCATAATATTTTTTTTTCTTCATTTCTCGTCTTGAATTTATTCCCACAACAAAATTCAATTCATTTGGTTATCAATTTATATTTCGTTCAATCCATTTGTATGTTGCCCTGTTTCATTCAATTTGCACTTATTCTTTCAGATTAAAAAATAAAAACGAATTTTGTTTGGTGTTTGAAGAACAAAAATATTAAATATAAAAAAACACAAATTTAAAGAAAAGGAAATTAATCGATTCGAACGGTTTGTGATATAACGTACGCGAAAGAAAAAAAAAACAATTCGAAGCAAACAAAACTAGAGCCATCGTTCGTACACAAACGATTCAAGCAAATCTTAGGTAAGATGCAGTTCAAAAATTTTCGCCGTTAGGGCTATGTAGAATGTGCTACAATAAAATGTAGAATGGGAAAATCAAACACAAACATTTTTTCACATTGAATTGTGAAAATATTTTCGATAAAATTACGTTATGTGAAAGAATTATTTTTTTTGTGTGTGTGTTCTATTTCGTGTGAATGCGATGCGAACAAATAGCGCATTATAATGATTTACCAGTTAGTTGTCGTTTTTCATTTTGCCAAATCGATTGGCATTCAGCTTTAGTGAGCCATGAGCCTCTCAATCTCCGTTGATTTTTTTCTTCCCCTTCTTCTTCTTCTTTTTTCATCAGTTTTTTCCACGGCCGAAGGAGATAAGACTATAAGCATTTCTCAGTTGGATATATATTTTTTTTGTCTAATGTTCAATCTTTTTTTCTCTTGCTTTCGTTGTAACTCTTTTAAATAAACTCTTAAACTTTGCTTACGTGTTAAGAAGAAGAAAACACTATCGAAGATTCCTTGAGCATAGCAGTTTTTTTTGTTGGTGTTTTGCACTTCTATCTCGTTTGTCTCAATGAAGAATGCATGTGATGTTTTAAAATAGAAACATCGCGCCAACGAAGAAAAATCAAGAGTTCGAGTACATGCATAAGGAACTCGAATTAATTAAAAATGTTTGCGTCATGGAAAGTTCGCTCTCTTTTTTTTTCAACTCATTTATCAACAAAGACAGATCAGCCTAATTATCAGGCTCACTCTTTATTTATACAAAGATAGTCGCTGAGCTCTTATATTCAGTAGTTAAATGTGGTGACTAAAGCGGAATAATTCAGAAAGATAAAATATACGATGGATTCGATGCATTGTTTCAAATACAATTCAAATAATCGGCAATTCAATAGCATCAATCAAAATAATTATTTTAAGGCAATGACATTGGATTTTGATGGTCACCGAAAGGAGCAAAAAATAATTAAGTAATTAAGTAATCACTTTATCAGCCACACATCAAATCGAATGAAACGACATGCGACACAAAAAAACGAAGTCAAACGAATTTAATTAATTTATTGCCATTGTTGTTGCGAATTCAATATCCGGTAGTCATCGGCTTAAAATGGTCCATGTATTTATATATGAGTGTGTTTGTACATTTGGCGGTTTTTTTATGTGTTTCATTTTTCATTTCACAATCAACAATGCTACAGTGATTTTTGTCGCAATTTATTTATTTTTTGTTTCGTTTTAACAAAATTTTCATTAAAACGAGAACTCGTTGGTTTTTTTTATCAGAAAATTTGCATTTCATGTTTTAACAAACTGCTCATTAAAAAAGGGGAGTTTTCGTTCATATTTGATGGATTCGCAATTAGAAAATGTAAAACATGAATAATCAAGTTGCCAAAAAAAGTATTTTCTTCACAAAACGACGCACGTAAACTTTTCCGTTTTACCAAAATAAGTGTGTGTATCTCAGTTCCACTCAAATATTGTTGGCTAATTCATTTGCCCAGAATGAAAACAAAACATAATATACTTTTTGATGGAATGTTAAAGTGACAAAAAGAAATTGCTAAAAATAAAATTTTATGCTCTTCAACATTTCTTGACACACACACACAAATCTAATTATTGTGCTGGAGAAGCGCTATACTAACTGGATTTTTGGATTGGATTACAAACGATACGACACAAAAAATGGCCGTTGTGATATCGACCGTTACACCAATTCGTCTATATTCGGCTGTAAATATTGATTTAATTAATTGTCCCTATTTTTGAGCTTACCCTCAACGTAATGGGTCAATTCGTCAATGGTTGTGACATACACACACACATTATTGACATAATAATGTCGACACAATATAGCAACAACCCATCTACGTCATTGATAATTTGTTAAATCCATTTTGATCCCCATTTGGTTTAGCCTTACCAATATCGTTTTATTACGAAGATGTATAGGCATCAATGATTTCACATGATTAAGCTGCTATCAGTAGACGACCAGAAGATGATTTGAAATTCAAAACTTTGAAAATCTGGTTATTCATTTTATGAATCGGGACTATATACATTTTCATGACAATAATTCTACGGATTTTTGCATACTTTCAACATTTTCAATCAGAACTTAGAAACTGATACAATCACACTATGAATTTACCCATCTCTGAAAATTTTGACAATGATTGAATGTGATTTTGAATTTAATCCAACCGAATGAATAAATAAAAACCACTTTCGAAAGAGGCACAGATTAAATTAATCAGTTTATCAAGTGCTAATACAGGCAGTTGTTCTATTACATACTTTGACGTTTCAATGAACTTATTGCTACGAATACGTGCATTCGCATATTCATGTGAACGCATTAATGACTCAAATTAAGCACCAACTAACAATGATATACATACTTTATGGTCTGTAATATTCGTGAGTTCGGCTCAAGTGTTTTTTTTTGTTGTTTGTCATAATTTTGCTTTACTCGATGTGGATTTTCATGGAACATCTCCCATGTTGTCTAAATCAATTTTTTTATACGAAGAAAAGAAACAGATCATAATCCACGTTTTTTCGCAAACATTTTGCTGTATGTATACATTTTCGTGTAATTGCATCAATAAATTAAATTTAATCCATTGTGAAAAGTGCAGCTCAAAATGAGTGGTGTCCATGTATGCTTAAATATGATTGGTACACGCAAGAATGATCTTACTTAAACCATTGTACTCAATTACAAACATGCAATACGTGCTCTGGGCCCATATATATATATATATATGTGTGTGTTTCACCTAATTCGCATACAGGAAACAATCTCGATTGTAACTGTTTCTTGCACACAATATAAAATATGACAAAAATATCGTATGTACATCTGCTTCAGCAGTGAACTGCTGAGAAATAACGAGCAAACCAAAACCATTCGTTATAATCCATTTAATTAATTGTCTGGTGAGAAAAAATAATCGGAGCTCG